TCAGGAGTAGCACTATACATGAAATCGGCTCATGCAAAAACATTCAGGGGTAGCACTATACATGAAATCGGCTCATGCAAAAAGAATCAGGAGTTTCACTATACATGAAATCGGCTCATGCAAAAACATTCAGGAGTAGAACTATACATGAGATCGTCTCATGCAAAATCATTCAGGAGTTTCACTATACATGAAATCGGCTTATGTGAAAACATTCAGGAGTAGCACTATACATGAAATCGGCTCATGCAAAAACATTCAGGAGTAGCACTATACATGAAATCGGCTCATGCAAAAACATTCAGGAGTAGCACTATACATGAAATCGGCTCATGCAAACACATTCAGGAGTTTCACTATACATGAAATCGGCTCATGCAAAAACATTCAGGTGTAGCACTATAAATGAAATCCGCTTATGCAAAAACATTCAGGAGTTTCACTATATATGAAATCGGCTCATGCAAAAACATTCAGGAGTAGCACTATACATGAAATCGGCTCATGCAAAAACATTCAGGAGTAGCACTATACATGAACTCCGCTCATGCAAAAACATTCAGGAGTAGCACTATTCATGAAATCGGCTCATGCAAAAACATTCAGGAGTAACACTATACATGAAATCGGCTCATGCAAAAACATTCAGGAGTAGCACTATACATGAAATCGGCTCATGCAAAAACAGTCAGGGGTAAACACTATACATGAAATCAGCTCATGCAAACACATTCGGGAGTTTCACTATATATGAAATCGGCACATGAAAAACATTCAGAGTGGGACTATACATGAAATCGTCTCATGCAAAACCATTCAGGAGTAGCACTATACAATAAATCGGCTCATGCAAAAACATTCAGGTGTTGCACTATACATGAAATCGGCTCATGCAAAAACATTCAGGAGTTTCACTATATATGAAATCGGCACATGAAAAAACATTCAGGAGTAGGACTATACATGAAATCGGCTCATGCAAAAATATTCAGGTGTTGCACTATACATGAAATCGGCTCATGCAAAAACATTCAGGAGTTTCACTGTATATGAAATCGGCTCATGCAAACACAATCAGGAGATTCACTATACATGAAATCGGCTCATGCAAAAACATTCAGGAGTAGAACTATACATGAAATCGGCTCATGCAAAACATTCAGGGGTAGCACTATACATGAAATCGGCTCATGCAAAAAACAATCAGGAGATTCATTATACATGAAATCGGCTCATGCAAAAACAATCAGGAGTAGCACTATACATGAAATCGGCTCATGCAAAAACATTCAGGAGTAGAACTATATATGAAATCGGCTCATGCTAAAAAATCAGGAGATTCACTATACATGAAATCGGCTCATGCAAAAACATTCAGGGGTAGCACTATACATGAAATCGGCTCATGCAAAAACATTCAGGAGTAGCACTATACATGAAATCGGCTCATGCAAAAACATTCAGGAGTAGCCCTATACATGAAATCGACTCATGCAAAAACATTCAGGAGTAGCACTATACATGAAATCGGCTCATGCAAAAATATTCAGGAGTAGCACTATACATGAAATCGGCTCATGCAAACACATTCAGGAGTTTCACTATACATCTATTTAAGGCGTATAATGCAGAATAAAATATAAACAAATTCAACACTGGGAAATGTTTTCCTTTTGATATATTTTAATATTTAACCCTGTGTGTTATTTTGTCGTGGCCTTTTGCACAAAGACGCTTCTCGTAATCTTTTACGCATCGCAAAATTTTTGAATTGACCGCCCACTCTTCCTTGTAAATGACCTTCAAATCGTTAATGTTTCTAGTGTCGATGAATTCGACGTTTCAAATTTCGTCATAAATTTTCAATTAGATTCACGCCAGTAAATGGTGGACGACATTGAATAATGTCTATTGTTCGGTACAAACCAGTAACGATTTAATTTGGATGGATGGTTTCGGGCGTTATCTTCTATAAATTTCAACCATTTTCAAGTGGCAACTTTTGCAACGAAAAAAAAATTAGAAAAAGTCTCTCCATTGAGGGTTCCTTTGGTTTAGATTGGTTTGGTTTATTTTGTTTTCGGCATATCTCCCTCAATGTGTTATTTAATGCCGACAACATTGTTAGGATAAATTCGTATGAATAGAATATGTATTCTTTGGTTTATATTGGTTTGGTTTATTTTGTTTTACGGCATATCAACCTCAATGGGTTATTTAATGCCGACAACATTTTTAGGATAGATTCGTATGAATAGAATATGTATTCTTTGGTTTAGATTCGTTTGGTTTATTTTGTTTTACGGCATATCAACCTCAATGCTTATTTAATGCTGACAAAATTTTTTATTGCTGGTAATATTTTGTTTTGTCAAAAATCAGTTTCTGGTAATATATTTCCTCCAAAATTGTATTCCTGGTAATAATTTGTTTTCACAAATGTATTGCTGGTAATCGTTAACTATTTGCCCATAGCCGGGACCCTAACAAGTGCTACCACCCCGGCTCAGGGTGGACCTGGGAACACCAGCAATTAAGAGGTGGTTCCACGCTCCTCAAAACCTGATGAGAGGCCTTGTTGCTGGACGTAGTTTAACGTCTTACCCAGGGCGCGGATGTAGTTTAACTTCTTACCCAGGACGAGTAGGGTGTGATGGATTACACAACTGAACTGTTTCAAAATATTTAATCAATATACACTTGATGATTAAACTTGTATCTAAAACGCACACAGATGATACATATTGATAAAACATTGACATTAACAAAGAAAATACAATATTTAAGGGGTTTTTGTTTCTGGTGTCCGTCCGTTGAATTCAACGTTTCAAACTTTTCTAACTGGTCTGTGCAAATATAAACAAATTCCACTGACAAAGAATACTGTTTCTATTTAATAGTTTCTTTGTTTGTTTAACGGCATATCAACACCATATGGGTCATTTAATGCCGAAATTTAATTTCCTTTGGAGCTTGAATAATTTTTTCTTTTTACAAAAAATTATTGCTGGTAATTTATTTTTTAAAATTTATACTTTCATTATTTTTTACCTCAGCTGTGGTTCATTATTTGCCCATATCTGGGACCCTAACTGGTAATACAACCCCATGTTATGGTAGATCTAGCAACGGCAACAATTAAGAGGTGTACGCGCTCGGGTTCCCCACCGACCCTGTGTCACAAACTGAACTCGTGGGGGTTGAGTAAATACAAATTAATATAAAGTAGTTTGTAACACGTTATTTATCATCTCTCAGTTGTGTCTATGTTTTTGGACAGCGTGCGCTCACGGGCGGCTCCGTCGAAAAACAGAGTCGCAACGGAGGAAAATTATACTGAGAGGTGCTGGCCCTGAGGAACAGCTGTGCGAGGCCGCACAAGAGAGAGGGATCGGTGCTCGCACTGAGGGCAGCGCATCCGATGGTTGCAGGGACTCGGTGAATTTTTATTCCTAGCCGGGTGTACGCCCTCGGGCTTTCACATTAAACCGACCCTGTGTCACAATCTGAACTCGTGGGGTGGGGATGAGTAAATACAACACATTTATTTATCATCTCCCAGTTGTGTCTCTGTCTTTGGGCAGAGTGCACTCAGGAGCGACTTCGTCAAAGGACAGAGTCGCAACCGAGGAAAATTATACTGAGAGGTGCCCGGCCATAGGGAATAGCTGTCCGAAACCACGCCATCTCATTGCACTAGAGAGAGGCATCGGTGCTCGCACCGAGGCCAGTGCAACCGACGGTTGCGTAGGGTCGGGAAAGTTTTGTTCCTAGCCCGGGTGTACGCGCTCGGGCTCCCCACATTAAACAGACCTTGTGTCACAACGTCACTTCTTCGGTGGGGTGGGGGCCGAGTAAATACCAAACTGCTATAAAGTAGAGCTGGGGTCTTTTATCCCCAGAATTCGTAGGGGAATTGAGCTCCCATTTCGCATTTATTCATATAGATAATTCATCTTAAGAATAAACAAGTTTTTTTTCTTAAATTCGTTATTGTTATTAGTCATTGTCAGGAATTTTAGGAAAAGATCTTATTAAAAACAAATAATGGTTCATTTCCTAGGTTTCAACGAGAGAAGTTTATCTTTATAAGGCATAAATAAGGTTCGATTTTTCTGTATGTGCCTCCATGGCTGAACGGTAAAAGTACGGCTGAAGATAAAGATGTTTCTTTAGATGTATGCAGGTTCTATCTCTCCTAAAAGATATATCTTTCTTCATCCGGGTTTCATCAAAAAACGATTAGTTATTCTCTGTAGGACCCTCGATAGCTGAATGGTAAAAGCACGCCTGGGTACAAGGTTGTCCCCTAACTTAACACGCTTTCTATCTCCCCTAAAATGTACACTTTTATTTAATGTGTATTTCATTAGACAATGACAATTGATTTGTTTATACGATTATATGAATGATAGCTGGTTAATTCGTTTAAAAAAATTGATTGATACTTTCATTTTGATTAATAAAACAAATTGCAATATAATTTTTATGTTAACTTCATATTATTAAATATGTAGTTAGTCGGAGGATAATTGTACATAATACAAAAAAGGTTGAAGAATGTTGAAGAACACATCAGCCAAAATGTGCGATGATAAGAATGAAGATATTCGTTTGAATGGTGAACGTATTTAAGAGAATCTTACTTGAAAAGGACAACTTTCCTCCCGGATTTTCTTTCCTTTCTCTTTTTTCGTACGACCATAACAAATGGCACGTTGATGGCGACGATTCTTGCAGAAATAATTTGACGGATTTCGCGCTTGTACCATCGTCAGCCACTAGAAGGAGCAGCAAGTAAATCTGAGTAAAAGACTTTTGTATTCGTCATCGAACGGCACGTACGATGCTCTCGAAAATGTCGTTGTGCATAAAAAGCTAATTTAGCGAGTAAAACGAAATGCATTTTAGCATTGCGAGATTAGTTATTGAAAATGGCGACCTTCAGTGAAGCAGATTGCAACATTAGTTGACAAGACGAAGATTTTTTTCTTCTTCTCTTAATTTGACTTTTTTATTAATGAGTAGTTGAATTGGCCAGACATTGATAGATATGAACAGGCCGAGATAGATAGATAGATAGATAGATAGATAGATAGATAGATAGATAGATAGATAGATATGAACAGACTTAGATAGATAGATAGATAGATAGATAGATAGATAGATAGATAGATATGGACTGAGATAGATAGATTTCTTGGATTAACATCCTCCTTTGACTGGGTTATCTGAATTAAAAAAATAATAATAATATAAATAATTTGAGTGTGTAGTGAACTTAAAACCATATGTCCTCAACTAGATTCGCACCCTGAACTCTTTCTCAAGCCAAGTTAAATGACCAAAATGTTAAAAAAATTAAAAGAAAACAGTTAAATTCATAACCACATGTCATTCAAAATATATAACACATAAATTGATGCCAAACTAAAATAATTTAAATGCTAATTTGCATAGATAAAAAACAAAAATCATCACATACTCACTTTTGTTTATTAAACATTGAATTGTATCACTTCATGCCGTCCATAACATGCCTGACATTTCAGTTAATCTTATGAATATTTATGAGCACTCATCTACCTAAACATTTTGAAAAGCCAATCACATTTTTACTCTAGTATATAAATATTTGTTACAAAATAAAATCCTAGCATTTGCTTTGATAAAATCCCCAAGAGGACGAAACGCTTCAGCTAAGATAAGTTTCCCTTTGTTTGTATTCATATTTATTTATATATATATATATATATATATATATATATATATATATATATATATATATATATATATATATATAGAGAGAGAGAGAGAGAGAGAGAAGATGAATTGAAGTACAATTCCAAAGTTCGTAACATTTAATTTAAAAGAGAGCTCAATACAAAGTAGAGCAATATTCTTTATTTTAGGATATTACACTGATTTTTTAGGCGATTCTAAATTACTGGCTAGGGAACGAATTAGTTTTAAACACAAAATACAATCTTCTTTTACGAAAACAAGAAAAAAGAGGGGTATAAGGTTTGTGGGCCTTACTCTGATCAACCAATCAAATAAGATCTATGTTGAATTTCAACTAAGCGAAAAAGCAAAAATTCGAAAATTATTTTTTATAAATGGGTCATGAACAGTAGATTGGCAGGTAACGGCAGCCAGACTTAAACAGAGCAGATCTAAATGGATACATAAATTAGAGACAACGCCATTTCCACAGATATAAAAATTGGGTGGAGAGGTAATTTAATAAAATGCTAAACAAGTTATATACTTTGTGAATTTCCTACATAAATTTTTTATAGTTGATAAATAAATTGCTTCTTTAAGAAACTAGTAAATTATTTAAACGTATATAATTATTTGGTAAATTAATATGCAACTGTTGAATAAATATTCTTCATATAAGATGTTAATAACAATAAACAATGTAAAATGTCAAACATAGCAACTAAATAACAATACATCCTTACAAGATGTTACTAATATTTGATGAGAGATTAATACAAAATTATTTTACAAATAGAAAGATAAGCCATATATGGTGCTACACAGTACAACTAAAATATACGAAAAAGCATAATCAAATTACATTTAACTAAATTGTAAGGTACCTATGTTTACAATTTACAGTTAATTCATTCCTTTGATTTAATAAGAAATGTTTATTGAATCTGTTGTTCGGTGTAATATCCTAAATAATATATATATATATATATATATATATATATATATATATATATATATATTCATCGAGACTTCTATGAATTGCCTCGTGCCAGACTTGGCCTTTTCTACGTGAACCAGTTGGTCTGTAAGCGGTAATATAAGAGTCTATTTCTGTCTGCTTTCAAGGATCAATAGATCAATATAAATGGCATCAAAAGTCACTTCGGATGGCTTAATCGATAGATAGATATTTAACTCGCTCAACACAATCTGTCACATTTAGAGTGAAATCATAACTGATCGAACTCATACTCAATGCACGAAAGAGTAGCTTGTTAACTACTACATATTATACATTGAAAATATTAAGAGATAATAAAGATGAATCACAATGCAAGAAAATGGGAGGATAGAAGGTAGAATTCAAAAAATTACAGAGAAGATGATAGATATATAGATAGATAATTAACAAAGAAAGAAAGAAAAAAGAAAGAAAGAAAGAAAGAAAGAAAGAAAGAAAGAGATGGCTATAAAACAAACACACCCAGACTGGGAACAGATAGATAGATAGATAGATAGATAGATAGATAGATAGATAGATAGATAGATAGATAGATAAAGAGAGAGAGAGAGAGATCCAAACAAAATTGATAGCTATATATTTACAGAGAGAGAACTTGACAGAGATGGAAACTGATACGAGCAATTTTAGAAGGAAAGAAAGAGGGAAAGAAGGAAAGTAAGAAAGGAATTATCAATTTAAAACAAAAAAGAAAGAAAAGAAGAAAAGCAATCGATTAAAGAAAAAGATGATTGACTTAAAAGAATGAAATA